AACATATCTATCTTTTCAAACATATATTGTTTCTTTGTGGTGAAAAGCTTCAAAACCCTTTCTTTTAGCATTTTGGAAATATATAGTACATTATCCTTACTCATAGTCACACTAGTGTGCCATAGCACACCAGAACTAATTTCTCCTATATAACTGTAACAGTACCCATCTATCAACTTTTCTCCATCCTTCCCCCTACTTTACTCTCTCCAGATACTGGAAACCGCTGTTCTAGTCTCAACTTGTACAAGATCAACTTTTTAAAATTCCTCATATGAGTGAAATCATGTGGTGCTTGTCTTTCTGTGCCTGGCTTATTTCACAAACAGCTTAATATAATGACCTCCAGTTCCATCCATGTTCTGTTTGCAGCCTGGGGATATGGCTTAGTATTAAAACAATTGCCAAGCATGTGTGAGGCCCTGGGTTTAATCCCCAGCACCACAAAACACCCAAAAGTTATACTGCTGCTCCACATCTGTGTGCCTGGAATAGTAGGGATTTGAAGGTAGGCCAATGCTAGCATTTAACTTTTGGATTTTACTAACATCAAGGTCCATATGGTAGGATGAATAATGACCATGTCAAAAATGTCCACATCCTAATCCTGGCACCAATGAACATGTTGCTTTATATGGCAAAAGGGACTTTGCAGATGTGATTAAGTTAAGGATATAAAATAGGGAGATTAAAGGGTTCCTACAGGGAGGCAGAAGGTTTTCAGTGAGGAGGGTTGAGACATCTGTGGAAACAAGAGATTGTAATGATGTTACCAGGAGCCAAAGAATTTTGGCAGCCTCAGAAGGATTGTCCCTGCTTACACCTTGATTTTAGTCCTGTAACACTGATTTTAAACATTTTTTTGGGGGGGAGGGATACCTGGGATTGAACCCAGGGGTGCTTAATCACTGAGCCACATCTCCCTAGCCCTTTTTATATTTTATTTTGAGACAGGGTCTCACTAAGTTGCTTAGGGCCTTACTAAATTGCTGAGGTTGGCTTTGAAATTGTGATCCTCCTGCCTCAGCCTCCCCAGCTGCTGGGACTATAGGCGTGCACCACTGTACCTGGCTTGATTTTAAATTTTCAATCTCCAGAACTGTAAGACAATAAGCTTGTGTTGTTTTAAGCCACTAGGTTTGTGGTAATTTGTTACAGAGGCAATAAGATACTAATAAAGCCCATAAAATTAAAGTGGCTACCATAGCAAAGACATTGCACACACTGGGCAAACAGGCCAACTTTGTTCATTTTCTTAATGTAAATCTACTGCACTATCAGACATATGTGTATGTCTGACTGGGGATACACAGTTTACCAGCTGGGATATTGATCTTCCTGAGGGCAAACCTGCTGAATTTCTTTCTATTCCACTGAGAGCTCTTAAATGGAACCCCTGGGATTCAGGCACTGCTCAAGATACCAAGCACCGTTAGCTGGATGCTCTGGGGACTTCTAAGATGGTCCCAGTATAATGCAGTGTCTAAAACAAACATAGTTTGGGCTCCCAAAGCTTGAAGGGTCATGTAGATCTCTATTAGGCCACACATTCCTAGCCAAACTTAGGAAGTGTGGCTTTCTCCTCTCCTGACTTTTCATCTCCCTAGGCTGTCAGTGGAACTCTTGAAAATTCCTTCTGCTCTCCAGGTGCACTTCTCCACAGCCCCAAGATGCCTTTCAGAAATGTTTTCTTCTCCCCAGTCTCCCTCTCTGGCTTTTCCCAGATTATGTTCCTGCCCTTTCTACTGTGAAAGCAATTCCACCTCTCTCAATCAATTTCTCCCGTCAATTTTTTTCTTCATTCGTTACCCAAATGGATACAACAGAGGTCAGGGAACCAAGTAACTCTAACAACAACAACAACAACAACAACAACAACAAAATCTTCTAGGGAGCATAGACCAGAAGAAATATTGTCAATATTAAATACTAATATTTTTGATCCATATCACCACTGACAAGAAAGTAAGTGATCACCAGCAGATGTATTTGGAAGAAATCCTGGGTGAAGGTTGACACCTTTGGCTTTTCACCAAGGACAAGACCGTCTCCAATATTTAGGATTTCCTTTGCGACGAAACAGCAGTGTTTGACCAGAAGATGGCGATCTTTTAAAACAAATTTAGGTGGTTGCCTAGCATGGGGACCTGGGATATAGTGAATCATAGTTGATAAAGATTTCCTGGTGCAGAGAAGGGCTGTGGAGACAGAGGAACAGAGAAAGACTGATGCAGTGAACTATGGTCAATAGGCAAATGAGACTTAACATTCATCACTTATTGATATTTGTTGTGATTTACCCTCTATCCATGCCATCTCTTTTTCCCCTTCCTCTGTTTTATGCAGGATCCTTACTGATTTGCCGTGTACACTGATGTTTATGAAGAACTGAGGCCATATTCTAGTAACCTCCCTTTAAGTCTCACTTTCCCTGTGTCCGTAGTATCCTATGTTCTTCTGTAATAGCATCAACCAGAGGCCCAATTAATATACTGCTTGGTATCTACAATCAACTGTGTGTTCTATGAGGTGGGCTCTGTTTTGTTCACTGCTGAATCACAGCATGGTATACCTTCCTAGCACATAGTAAGTGCTCAATAAGTATATGTTGAATGATTGTAAGAAATTCAAGGTTGTAACTGACTTGAATTTAAAAAGTGCTTTTTGTCTGCTTCCATTCTAAAAGGCCCATGGATGATAGCTGATTCTTACTGAGTGATTGCTGTATTAAACCTTAGCTACATTATCTCACTTTTCCCATGAACTCTATAAGGTTATTCTGAGACAGAGTAGCTAGCTATGGGTATATAAATAGTAAATGACACAAAGTTCAAGGGTACCCTTTTCACTTTGGTGGTACCAACCCACCAAGATTCTCATTAGTGTGCCACTCTGTGGACCTTAAAGCACCTCCTACATTCTCCTCCTCTTTCCTTGTTCTCACTTTACCCTCCCCAATTGACAGAAAATGCCCACACCATTACGCCCCATCCCATTTCAGTCAAGGACCTCAGTGGTTCATGGAAAATATCTGAAGTCTATTAATAGGAAAGCCAGGTTCTTAATGAGGTGATTATAAAGAAATGTAAATAAATAATAGCCTTCAATCAATTGATTACAAGTACATTAAGTGAGGTCTTGCTAGAAGATTCCATGGCCCATCTTGAAGCAATTGTAAGGTTTTTACATGAGGCCTCCAAAATCTACCTTCAGAAACCTGACTCTAGTCCTTACCAGCTGTCACTTTAAGACCTTCCTTCACCTTTGAACTCTGAAGAGAATGGCCTGCTCAAAGAGGGGAACAAAGTCCTGAGTTCTGATCGAAGAAAGACAACTGTAGTTATTAACTAGTATCTTCCTTTGTTTTTGTCCTCTTCTACAATTTCTCAGTTTTTGGACATATGACATGTCTTGTATTTTAAAGGCCACTTTGGTGGAAAGCAGAATATAGTTTTAAAAAGTTAACCCAATGCTGATGTCCTGCTTACTAGAATTATATCATAGTCAGCACAGATGAAATGTTTACAAAAGAGTGGTGATTTGTATCTCATTTTGAGGATTTTTTTCTCTAAAAAAGTCTAGCACTGCCCTCATTAATCATGACATTGATATAGCAGGAGATATGGACAGGGGAAGGGATATTTCTTGAGGGCTTGCCTAAGAGGATTCCCCCCAATTTTTTGTTTTCCTGTCTGTGCCCTTCCAAACCAGGCTTCTCTTACTCTAAATACTTTCATAAAATGGTTGCTGGAGATACTCATTTCTTGGAAAATCAAAGGCATCTGAAAATAATTTGTCATTCAAGTGATTCAAAACCCAACTTTATATTTATCAGGTACTTGAGGACAATTTGGATATGCAAGATAAGCCTTCAAATGTGTTTTGATTGGTCAGCAATCATTTAAAAGGATTTAAATACAAATGCTCTCCAAAGGGCAAATGCTTCCTGGGTCAGCCACAGTCCTCACCATTCCCTAATGTTCCCTGTCTATTTCTGTTCATTTTTAGTTGTCTGACTCAAGACATTGGATTTTGGACTGTTTTTTGTAAATGTATATTTTACCCTTTGATCTTTCTGTTAGTAATCAGTAGGTAAGGCTGCTTTATTGAGATAAAAATGGAATCATTTCCAGGGTTCCTATAATCCTGATATTTTTCTTTCATATAAAGAACAGTGCATCCAGGTGTGGTGGCATGTGCCTGTATCCCCAGCTACTCAAGAAGCCGAAGTGGGAGGATTAATTGCATACAGGAATTCGAGACCAGCCTGGACAACAGAGTCCTGTTTCCAGAAAATCCAATCTAAGAAAACGAGAGAACCAAGATATGCAAAGGCTAAATATCTTGCCCCTGCCATACAAACAGGAAAAAATAGAAATAGTACAAGCAACAAAATGCATAAATCACATTAATGCTGCCATGAAAAGAATCCTTAGAAGTGACGTAGGGCCAGACACAGTGGCACATGCTTGTAATCCCAGAGACTCGGGAGGCTGAGGCAGGAGGATTACAAGGTCAAGGCCAGACTAGGCAACTCAGCAAGACCTTGCTACAAAATAAAAATAAAAAGGGCTGTATATGTAGCTCGGTGGTAAAGCACCACCTGTTTAAATAAGACAAAAAGAAACCACTTAAGCAACTTACCCTTTCTCAAATGGAGAAATTGAGGCACAGAACCAAAGTGATTTGCTCGAGGTATCATAAACTATTAGGTGAGAATCCTTGCTTTAAAATCTATACCTGTGTTCCATTTGGGGAGACTACAGTATTCCAGACAACCTCAATATCACATAAGAGTCAAACCCAATGTTGAAAGTTACAGTCTCACATACCAAGTAGTTCTTTTTTAACTCTACTTTCAGTTAATTTTTTTAAAACAATTGTTCTTTTTAGGTATTTAAGTCTATCCTCCATGGACAACACCTCATCGTGACCTCCTGCTGCAAGAGGCCACCAAACTTTCTAAACAGCTCTTATCAACCAAACACAGGAGTCAGGTCTGAATTGGGGGGTAGTGCACTTTATTCACAAAAAACACAGTACCATACAGGCAAAATCTTACTTCATTGGCAAAACACAGACATATGCATACTCCCAAATGTAGCACTGGGGCAAACTTTAGACACAGAACATTATACACCAAGTTCACAATCAAACATGACATAGTTCACAATCCCTCAATATTTTTTTCTTCAGTGGAGTATGACACCTTATTTAACAGTTAACCATGACAAACAGATGAACTTCTTAAATCTAATTCTCGACCTAACTATGGAGTGAGGCCGACTCAGCCTTCAGAACTGTGTAGAGGATGCCTTAATGGAGCCAAGCTCTTGATTTATGGTATCTTCATGCTGGATGAGCTCATATATAGTAGGTGTTCTCAGCTCCTGTTTCAAATTTAGGCACAACCGGACTGGCATTGATTTTGATACCCAATCTGTAGTTTAACAGGGTTGATGTGATTAGGATAAATTAATTGGTTTTCTAAACCATGGGAGAAGAGGGTAAACTTCACACTCAGGAGGCCTTCGACATGCAAGATTTCAATATGTTAACAATCTGATTACTGTGAAAACTGTTACTGGTTCAGACATTTAAATCAACATTTCCCAAGGTGTGTCAGGACTGAGTTAATCAGTAAGTGAATAGAAACAACTGCAAGAGATTAGGGATGTGATTTCTCACTGCTATTTGATATAATATGCAGCATTTCCTTATGAACTGCAATATATCCAAGACATCAATGAAACTTTTAAGTTAGCAAAAAAAAATGCTTTTGAATTATAAAATAAAGAGTGGCAGAAAAATTTAGCTCTTTGCTCTTAGGATAGGCAAAGCTTTGGAAGACCTTAAGTCCTCATATCGGGATCCAGAAATGTAAGTTTGCTTTTAAGATAAGGTTAATGATGTAATAAACTCGAGTTGGATGAGTTCTTCAGGTATTCTTTAATTTTTCTTAAATAAAAATATATATTTTAACAAGAAGTATTTTATGGTTGAAATGTTTGGGAGGGGTTTCTAAAAACATGACAAGTCTTTCAAATGAGAAAGATAAGAGGCGGGCACTGTTCTGAGCCCACATTGCTCCTAAGATAGAGAACTCAGTCTTCATATGTAAAAATCACTCAATTTCATGTTTGTTATAAAACTTAATTAAAGCAAGGGAGGTTATCTTATAAAGCCCTTTCTGTATTTGACAGTCTCTATAAATAATAATCAGGGATTTTTTCATGTATATTCCAGTACTAGATAGAAATTGACATGCTAATATTTAACCATGTTTAAGACATGTAAGTGAAGGGATCTGTCTAATTCTATGGCCATAAAAACAAAAGGAAAATGTATATGACTCTAGGGGTCTTCAGGTAGTAAAGAACCACATGAAATAATACTGCTTTCCTAAAACTGGTATAGTATGTTATCACTAATAGGGATCAACTGATGTCTAACCATGTTCCAAAGGGAAAAGAAGGTGCCCTTTGTAGTTGGTTTCACATGAAGCTAGTCAGGGAGGCCTCTTGCTGTGATTTTATTCTGCTCATCAAGTTAAACATTTGAACTCGGTAAACACTCTCCTCTGTAAGATGTAAAAGAGAAAAATGTACAAAAAAACCTAGCACTGAGGCTAGATGTCTAGAAAATTCACAGAAATTAGAAGTGGCCAGGAGATTCCTGGGGCATCAGACTGCAAGATGTCCCCATCCTGGTCTGAAGGAACCACATATCCCTGCCCCCACCGGCTTATCTACTTCCTTATGTAAAGTAGGAGCCAGTCACCCCCGGAAGCTGTGAGGCTATGGGCTCTGTACCAACACTTCACCAGTGCCTAAGGACAATTACAGGCTAAGTCTTAACCTACTCCACTTTATTTCTGAAATCAGGTATTTTTTGTTAAAGGTAGGAAGAATGGGACACAAAAATTCTCATAAGCACATTACATTAACTTTTTGAAATTAAGAGAGCAATCACAAGGTTTTATTGTATCCATCAATACAAATTGGTCTACATAGACAAGATGAAGCTTGATCTTACTGAAATTAATTAGGTAATTATTTGGGTTGTTCTTACTTTAATGCAGACAGACTAAACTGAGGAGGGTTAAATCAAGTGCACTTAAATGGCCTAATGACACAGCCTTTAGTTCTTCCACATTTTCCTTTTGATGGTGATGGTGATGGTACTGAGAAGAAGGATACAGAAGGCCAGAAGTTGGAACTTCATGACCGTGGCAGCAGCTTGGATTTGTACAACACAATCCAGAGGGCAGTTACTGAGGTGGAAATCCCGATGAGCTTCAGCAGGCCAGATATGGAAGGCAGGTTTCTCTCTAGGAAGGTGGTGGTGATTTCAACTGATGGAACATCCTAGATAATAAACACAAATCATTAGTAGAAAACTCTTCCACTCATAAAGAGAAAAAATATCTGTAATATCATGCATGGGTATACCTGTGAGTTTTATGACTAGTCTATGGATATGGACTAGCCAAACTTACCTTAGATTCAGGTTCTTGTGCCCATATATCTTTCTTAGCCACCTTCCCCAGAGCATTCAAGACCTGAAAGAAAGTGACCATGGTATTATGAAATGAGGTTGTATAGGTGTGTCAGATTCAAAGTCCTATTTATAGGCTATTAGATAAGCCCTATAAGTGAGGGGCACAGAAATGAATATTTTCTATTAGCAACCCACTTGAATCAAAGTGTGAAATATGATATATCAAGAACTATGTAATGTTTTGAACAACCAACAATAAAAATTTAAAAAAAAAATAACTAGACAAATGAATGGCCAAAGGAAATGGGACACACACACACACACACACACACCATGGAATATTATTCAGTTTTAAAGAAAAATGAAATCCTGCCCTATGTGACAATATAAATGAGCTTAAAGGACATTTTGCTAAAGGATATAATCTAGGCACAGAAAAACAAACATGTTCTCACTCACATGCAGAAGCTGAAAAAGTTTATCTTAGAGAATATGTAACAACAAATCCCACTATTATGTATAATTATAGTACACCAATAAAAATAAAGAAGTAGAGAGTGATACAGAGGCCACCAGAGGCTGAGAAGGGTTGAGGATAGAAGGGATAGTGAGAGAATGGATAGTGGATAGCAAAATACAGTACAACAGGAGGACTAAATTCTAGTGTTTTATAGCACAGTTCGGTGAACATAATGATTTGCTATACATTCCAAAATAGCTAGATGAAAGGATTCTGAATGTTCCAAAGAAATGATGTCTGATGTGAAGGAAATGCTAATAACTCGAATTTGATCACTGCACACTGTATGCACACATAATATCTTACTACCCCCAAATATGTATAATTATGATGTCAATGAAAAAAATGGGCAAATATATAGTTTCATGAAAACATCATTAATCCATCTAAAAAATTTTAAAAGAAGAACCAGGAAGACCAGATGCCAAAAATGCTGCTGAGACTCAGGAGGGAACACTTCAGCTTCCTCCCTTACCTCTCTAGCTGCACGTTCTCCGGCCTCAACAGCTCCTTCCATGTAGCCACTCCAGTGTGTAGCGGTTTCTGTGCCAGCAAAGTAAATCCTGCCCACTGGCTGGCGAATCACCCTATGAGGAAACAAAGAGGCCACACAAAGTTACCTGGGATGCTACTGAGGGGAAATGAGCCAATGACTGCTCTCATTTACTTTGCAGAAGACAGGGAAACTCAAATTATTTACAAAACACAGCCCAAGGTAAAATGTTCCTTAAAGGCTACTCCTTATTTCCTAGGCCTATACATAAGGAGGCTGTCAGATCATCAATCTGTGAAGATGATGTTGACCTTTTTCAAGCTGGCCAGAATTGGAATGTGAGAACATGCATTCAGTCCACAATCGGATTTTTTTGGCTGTGTGTCTCCTATTTTGTAGTTCATTCTGCTTCCCACACTGTTTTTCCAAGGGGGAACATTCTTTTTGAGATCACACATGGCCAAAGTCCAGTCATGCAGGTAGTCCCAGTGTATTAGGAGGGACTGTTGCACCAAGTGGGAAGATAGAAATGGACTGTAAATTGACTAATTCTGATAGAGGAGAGACATGAGGGATTACATACATGAGTTTGTTTCTTTAAATTACAACTTCTGTAAAGTTTCTCTGGACTTTCCTAGGGAATAGCTGAAGGCAGGAAATGGCCCTCCTCTTATAAAGAGGTCCTGCCAATGAAAACCAAGGAAGGGCTAGACCAAATAGGTAACTGTCCCCTCCAGCCTTCTCAGGGTTGAATCCTGCCATTCATGCAGCCACTTTCATAAACACTCTGAAGCTGCACACCCCACCCCACCCCACCCCACCCCAAAGACTTTCATTTCAACCCACTGGCACTTTTTTTCCATTCAGGAACCCTGTGTTTCATCTCTTCCTGACCCTAGTCCCATCTTCTAGACTTCTACATCACAACAGAACTAATCCAATTTATAAACTCTGCTATCACAAACAAAGGCTGTTTGAACAGTTAACAAACAAGACAGGGCTGGGGGTGCAGTTCAGTGGTAGAGCACTTGCCCAGCATGTGTGAGGCCCTGGGTTTGATCCTTAGCACCACAAAAGGAAAAAGGCAAACAAACAAGCTTCCAAAAGGAAATGGTTAACAAATGCTTATTTCTTGTGGACAAACATGACCTAGTGTTAACTTTCTGGCTTTTTTGTCTGGAAACCAGATGAAGGTATAATGCTACATATGTGACCAGGGAATACTGCTTATGCTAAAAATGTTACCTTACCCATTCCCACATTGGTAAACTGCATTCAGGCTGAAAGGATTGGGAATGAACTGTAAATACCTGGAGGGAGACTGTCACTGTGGGCTTCCTTGAGTGTGGTGTCTCTTCTAACTGAGCAAGTGACCCTGGGCTCTATGCCTGTGACACATAGTGATAATGGCTTCTATGGATCAAGGGGCTTCTAAGTCAAAGTGGATCCCTGCACCTCCTGCCTCCACCCCAGTGAATCTCATCTCCTCATCACTTGCTATATACAGCAAGGATGTGTGATAGTCCTCTGTTGGCCAGACAGATATATTGGATTAATGCATTGAAAGTCCTTCTGTATAGACTGGTGTCAAGGAGCCTAGGGTGGTAGTGTGAGACTAAATGTTGATCTGAACTCAAGAAGGCCCCTTGAAGGACAGTGCAGTTTGCTTCATTCTCACAAATATTGCTGACTAATCCCAGCTACTCAGAGACTGGAGCAGAAGGATCACAAGTCTGAGGCCAGCCTGTGCAACTTAGGGTGACCCTGTCTCAAAAACAAAACAAAAAAGCCCAAACAGAAATAAACAAACAAACAAACAAACAAACAAGTACTGTTGACACCTGAAGTTCTTCCCTGTGCTCGGCTATTGTCTATTTGCTGATATCCTTGTTTTTCCAGAGACATTCAGAAAGATACAAACTATCTATCTAGGGCATTAGAAATAGGAATGACAGCTATTTCTAGAATTCTCATTGAATACTGCTTCTGTTAAATGTGATACAGGTCTTATAATAACTGGTGTAGTGCTTGGGCAGTACCTTCCATATTGAGTCATGATCCCAGGGGGGAAGTAGGCAGTGTAGCACCCTCCAGAGTACTGCTCCTCACACCAGTTCTTCTCTTCATAATGCACTGGCTGAAGTTGGTAGGGAGAAAATTCCAAAGAGAAAAATGAAGCTGAAATGCTATAAGTCACAATGAAGGCTCTTACATGTTTTACTTTATCAAAAATTTCACAGAGAAAAAGACAATAACCCTGTTTTTGTAACTTGCTGAAGAAGAAACATGATATTATCAAGTAATAGCCTTTTGTGAGGTACCAAGTTGCAAAACATGGACATTATGACTTTTTTCAATCTCTCAACTAGGGAAGACAAAGTATCTCAACATCTGGGAATGAGGGCATCTTCATGCTGATACTGAAGAATTTAGAGCTAAAACTTTAGGGAAATCCATCAATGATCAGCTTGTGGAAAGATCTGCTTCAATCTCTGGAGTTCAACAACAACAGACTTCACTTCCTTATCTACCCAGGTGTTTCTGCTGCAAAAAAAGTTGTGAGGGAGGAAGTAGAAGACAGTCATAGTATCTAAGAAAGGATTTGGTCAGAATCCCTTCCCAAAGCTAGAAAAATGAATGTTGGAATTCTTGCTAAAAAGGGGAACAATTAAGATGTAAAATGTTCCTAGAGGACATGAGAGAATCTTCTCTGAATTCCATAATACACTATGAAAATGTGTCATTTAATTAATTTACAGATAACCCCTCAAAAGTGCCCCCAGCTATCAGTGGGTTCTTCAAAAGTCATTTCCCTCTCCTGATTGCTTTCAGTGGTAGATTAAAAGCACTGAAATTTCTAAATGAGTTGTGAATTGAGTTGCACATGTAAAACTAAATTATTATGACTTTGACCTAGGCAGAAAGTTTACATTCACTGTTCTGTCTTGTATGTATTACTAATGTATTCACCAACAGAAGATGACATATTTGGGGTTTTCTTTCACATCTGGCAGTTGACACTGACTGACATGAGGGCAGGACCTCTGTTTTGAGAACCAATCTCTCCCATCCTTAACATAATTCCTGCCATGCCAGGCTGTCATCACACTTTGATGATAGTTATTCAGCAAACATTTAAACTGCACAAGAGGATTACAGCTTTGAAATTCCATGCACCTGACACCAATTTTAATGGCCTTTTTTTTTTTAACTGCTAAAGTTCATCTTTCAAGTTAAGAATAATTCTTCTTAACTCTCTTCATAAGACTGTCAGGAATCCAGAATCTGCTTTGCTTTACCAATTCCAGTGAGCAGAGCACAGCCTGTTAGGGACTAAACCTTGGGGTTTTCTTACTTGTAATGCTTCCTCAGATCCCAGCACTTTGGCATACAGCTCACAGATTTTCCTTTTCCTATTAAAAAAAAAAAAAAAAAAAGGAGCCAAAAAGGTTGTTAAGGAAGTAATAACCGATAGGTACAGAGTAAATACAGTGAGGTCCAGGGCATTCACCAATGAACCAGATTTATTACAGAAAAATGAAACTCAATGGCCTCCTGTTACTATACAAAGCAAACAGTTCAATGAATCTCTGTACTCAGATTAACTTTCTCTGCCTCGATAGTCATTTGAAAGAGTCAATAGAATATTCCTTCTTTTTTTTTTTTTACATTTCTGCCTCTTTTACTATCTATTACAATATCTGAGATAAAAATGGGTAAAATAAGATTAAATTTAACTTAATCTTAGGGATTAATTCCATATAACTTTTCTGGAATATATAGAATTCTAGAATGATCCTATTTGTAAATATGTAGTTCATATGATAGCAAGTCCTTTAACTCTCCTATTCTTGTTTTGTAAATATCTGAAAACAAATAATACTCATTTAGTATTTTAAGCATAAAGTATGCTATTCTGAGAGAGACTTACAGTCATTTCAGTCTAGTAATCTGTAACTTGGATAGAATGGTCTGTGGACTAGGACACTGTGTTAAAGGGTATCTGGGGGATGGACACAATACACTACATGATGGTACCTCAAAAAGTCTTTGGCTGGGCTGGAGCTGTAGCTCAGTGGAACAGTGCTTGCCTAGCATGTGTGAGGCACTGGGTTCGATTCTCAGCATCACATACAAATAAATAACATAAAGGTCCATCAACAACTAAAAAATATTTTTAAATGTTTTTAAAAAGTCTTTGGCTATCCTCATAATTCATGACATAGACGAAAAGTATAGAACATGAAATGTATTATGTCTGAAAAATCAGTAGCTATATTTACCTAAAGTTTTCTTAAAAGGAAAAAAAAAACATTTTAAACTCACTACTCCTGCTTAAAAAATTTTTAAAAAGGTCTAATTATTAAACTCACCATTTGTAGAAATTAATGGTTCTATTTCAGGATTTGTTTGAATAGGTTCACACTGAACCAATTACATACTATTTATGTTTCCTTTTTTACTTTTGTAATATAGTTTAAACATGTGAAACTGTCCTTAAAATATTTGTTGAAGACTAACAATCAACTGGAAAATATTCATTAAAAATGGGGCAAAAAGTTTAATTCAAATCTGTAAGATAAGCATAAAATGCATAACTAAAAATAACCAATAAAATCTGACAAGATGAATGGCCAAAAATATTCGGGGGGGGGGGGAGGTCAAGAATATTAGTAATAAAAGAAATAGATTTTAAAAACACTATTTTATCTTGCCAATTACATTAGAAAATATTATTAAAACATGCTCCCAATTTCTCTAAATAATCTGGGAAACAATGTCAACTTATAAATTTATATAAAGCCTTCTATACATTTATACAACTCTTAGAATATCCATCTCATAAGTATAGAGGATTAAATTAGGAGGAATAGATGGAATTCTAAATAGGACTTGCTATGCAGTTTTCCCATGGAAGGTTTTAAGGAAGAGACAAATGCCACTCCTGACATGATGTCACACAGCATGGGGTGAATATTTAAATTCCAGGACACATCGAAAATCATAAAGGTAAGAAGTCTCAAGACTACTGTCCACCTGTCTCTCTCAGTCTAATCTGTGCTATTCATTTCAGAGATTAGGAAGCTGAGACTCAGTGAGCTGCTGAGACTTATTCAGCATCATTCAGCTAATTAATGGCAGGGTGAGGCTCTACATTTCTGAGCATCCTGCTCATAGTAGATGCTCAATAAATGTGTGTGGAGAATCAAAGTCCATGCTTAGCCTAGTGTGAGACCCTCTCCTCAACTCTATGAAGAGATGAATGATTCTTATCTACTACAAAAGAGTGTTACAAGCAATGATTCAGATATTTTAAATCAACTAAAAATTAAGGATATTAATAGTCAGTATTCTAAAATGTTTAATGATGCTTAGCTTATTTTTTGGACACATAATAAAATCTTTATTAAAGCAGAGTGAAACCCAAAATTCAATCAACCTCCTTTCAGTTAATTTTTTAACCATGAATGATAAAACCAGTTATAATAGAAATACAAGCCATTTAGTGTGCTTTACATATATTATTAGATGAGCCAAGGACAGGTCACACAAATACATCAGGGAATTATCATTCTCTTCCCATCTTCCCATTAGAATTCAATTTTTATGGGGGGGAATATATGTAAGGCAAGGATATTAAAACAATGCATTTTTTCCTTTTTCAGTGCTGGGGATAAAACCCAGGGCCTTGCACATGCAGGGCACATGCTCTACCACTAGGCTACCACCCCAGCATGGAGCAATCCATTTATTCAATCAATGCATTTATTTGGCTTAGCTCTAAAATCAATAGAATGTATTTTAAATTAAAGCCTAAAGAAGTCACTGTGCAAATCATCTTGTTGAATTTATCCGCTGGCTTTTATATCTGGATACTCAATCAACTGAAAAGCTTGTTAAAAATACAAATACTCGGGTTCCTTGAACCTTGCACCTACTGGATCATAATCTTATAGGCCTCAGAAAAATATATCTTCTAAACATCTTTTGGAAGATTTTGAGGCAGTCAGTTCTGGAAGCCACTGTTCTCATCAATGATATATTCAGTAAGGTTTTTGCCTCACAAAAACTTTTGAGAAGTTGAGCCACTGTGTAGAATCAAAACCAAATGCCTACCTCCAGGCTGGTATTTATTTTATTATTAATAAGGAGGGAAAGCAGGAAATCCAAAAGAAAATGTCAAGCTCAGAATGATGTAATGAAAAAGAGTATGTGTTATCTGCTATTCCTGTTGCAAGTTAGCCGCTATGGTTTGAATACGTATATTCTCTAAAATTCATGCATGTTGGAACTTAACTTCCAAGGTGATGGGATTAAGAGGTGGGGCTTTTGGGGATGTGATTAAGTCACAAGGGCTTTGTCTAGGTTATAGTTTTTATAATTTTCCTTTATTCATCTTACAGAAAAACTCTACCTCTCAACCATTATAAATAAATACAAATGTGTAAAATTGAGTTAAAATACACATATGGGCAAAGGGGCCATAGCAAAATACAGAAAGGTTGATTTGTTGGGCTGAGAATATTTGTAAAATATTATGTTTTTCCTGATGAAATTCTACTTTGTTAGTGCAATGAACACAATATAAAGCTTGCCTTTTGTCTATTTTCAGATTGTTATGGTTTGGATGTGAGGTGTTCCCCAAAAGCTCATATGTGAGACAATGCAAGAAGGTTTGGAGGAGAAATGATTGGGTTGTGAGAGCCTTCACCCAATAAGTGAATTAATCCCTGATGGGATTAAATGAGTGGTAAACACAGGCAAGTGGGGTGTGGCCAGAGAAAGTGGCTCATTGGAGGCATGGCTTTGGGGTACATATTTTGTTTCTGGAGAGTACAGTCTCTTTCTCTACTTTCTGATCATCATGTGAGCTATTTCCCTCTGCCATACTCTTCTGCCATGATGTCCTGCCTCACCTCGAGACCCAAGGAATGAAGCTGTTCTTCTATGGACTAAGACCTCTGAAACCATGAGCCCTCAAATAAACATTTCCTCCTCGTTAATTGTTCTGGTGGAGACCTTTAGTCACAGAAGAAAAAAAAAAAACTGACTAAAACACAGATATAAATGCTTTACCTTATTTCTTTGTGGAGCTTAGCAAGTCGATCAGCTTTCCGGGCAAGGATGAAGCTGGAGAGAGAGAGGGCATACTTGAATATCAGGTTACAGTCTTTATGCATTGTCCCTTCTCAAGTCTTTTATTACTGCTATCTACTCAATATTAATGAACTTTCCCAGACCCTCCTATATTAGTGCAAATACCATGTTATCTTCAGTCTCCCTCTGTGTCCAAACCCAGATAGGCTTGTTATGGGCCAGGCTATATGGGCAATGACCAAACAGACTCCATTTTACCCTGAGACTCCATATCATGTAAGAAATGCTTCTCCCATGAAAAAGCCCCACCTCTGTACCCATAACAGTTGTTTAGCATAGCATGTTTGGAAACACAAAATGGCAATTCTTATACAATGGAAAATTATTCTCTTAAGTTTCCACTTTTTTTGGGCAATGTACCTTGTTAGAGATTGATTGTCTAGACATTAGTAACCATTCTCTAATGTGTACTGAATTAGGGTCATTTTGACCCACCTCCCTTCTGCTTGCTTACTGCTATGCCAACCTGGAAAGTCCTATGGGAAATACCAATGTACCCATTGCATTGTCTCCCTAACTGCCCAATTCATCTTCTATACCTGCTTGCTTGCAGCTACATCAACCCAGATGTGGTTTTTGCCTTTAAATATCCTAAAATTCTCAGGTTCAGGGCTGTTCCTTGCAGAGACAGTTACGGGTCCTGTGGGGAATAGTCACCAGCAGCCGACTAAATAAAAACTCTTCAATTTGGACAAAACTGGGACTTGTTGTGTTTTCTAAGTCCCACAACAGGCTGAGCTCCTAAATAAAAGGTCAATTCTTACTCAATATTTTGCTTGTAAAATTTATTACATTATTTGGTATACAGTAGGAAATCAAAGGTTGGACGAATTAATGTTGCACTAAATAATTACATTGACAATGATTATTGTCTTCTGTCAAATACTTGGTAAAAGCTGGACAAAGAAATGTTAATATGTGTCTGTAGTGGATTCCAGGAGGGGTATCCCAGGTTCCCCTTTCAGGACTTTTACTTGGTAACCTTAACTCACAGTGGAAACCTTCACCAACAATTATACTCAGCAGGAGAGAACTGCCTCAATCAAGTTTCTGCCCTTCCTCAATGGCCAGCTCTGGGATGGGGTGGGTACCAAGGATCATCCCCACACCTCATTTCGGAACAACTCTGAAGGGCCATCCCAGCTCCAGAATTTTCCATGAGATTGAGGACATCTTTGTTGAGATAAATCTAGAGCCCAACTTCTCCCTCTGCCTGATTCCAATTCCCTCTCTTCCCCCATAGGTAGTAACTCCTAGGGCACTTCCCAATAAATCTCCGGTACCCAAATTTCTATTTTCAAGTTGACTTCCTAAGAAACGGATCTAAAACAGTCCCCCAATAAAGGAACTCAGTAACACCCAGATATAATCTGTCTGCTTTCCTTTAATTGAACAGATTCTATTATACCAATATTACTGATTATATATATATATATAAAATAATTGAATGTGACATGAAATTCTTAATCCCAGTATTATTAGAAAGCTTTCAAAAATCCACATGAAGGCTGTGGATGTAGTTCAGTGGTAGAATGCATGCATAGCATACACAAGGCCCTGTATTTAATCCCAGGAACCACATACATGCACAAATCTAAATGAGCCATAGAGCAATGAAATTATTTCTCCATTTAAAAAAGATTTTATAGGGCTGGGAATGTAACTCAGTGACATAAGGCTTGTCTAGCATGTGAGAGACCCTGGGTTCCATCCTCGGCAGTGCAAAAAAAAAATCTTTAAAAATTATATTTCTTTGGTTCCAAATCTGCCAAAAAATAGATTAGAGCTAAAAACAGTATTTCTTCCTGTCCCCACCTCCAAGTTAAACTGTTCCTCAATTGGATTGGCAATTCCTTTAGGGTTGTGATTTGTGATCATTCTGGGAAGCAAAGACACAAAGTATGTTAACTCACAGAACAATATTTCTGAAGAAGCTGTGGACTATTTAAGAAATTTAAACTACTGAATTTTATGGGATATAGTCATAACTTTATTTGACTTAACCCTTAAGTTATGACTCACTAGCAAAGATTTTAGTTAAATTTTAGGTTTAAGAAAGAATCAGTAAGGTTGGGCCTATAAAATATTTAAAAGAAAACCACCACAAATATCAAATTAAAGTTTAAATGACTTATCTGAAAGCCCTTTAGTCAACTCATCATATGTTTTTATAATCCCTTTCCCAAAGAGCAATTAGTGTTGACTATTTCGATCAAATCTCAAGTCATGCATGAAATAATCTCTTATCTAACTATGCACAAATATTCTTCAACTTTCACTGGTACTTTATTGTGGAAATCATGCATGCTCTCTTTGTGTTGAGGACATTTCACAGTCTAAAGTACAAGTTTGTTTACAGTTTTCCAAAAGGTGATAATTATTTCAGACACAGTGCTAGGCAATTGTCACCTCTGTCTTTGAGGCTTTCTTGGCCAAGTGCAAAGAGCAAGGTGGAGGCAATATATCTTCAATGCTTTAATTATCAAGAACAAAGTTCTGGGTGGAGTAACTGTCCCGATAAGACAAGGGAGAAGCTGGTCAACAGGCATAAAAGAGAATAGACAATTTATCCTCAACCTTATAAATTCATAGTTGGGACAGACTTATGTAACAAAAGATAGATTAACAAGAGAAAAATAAGCAAGTTTATTAACCCTGAAGTACACATCACATGGATCAAGGTAGTGGTTTGAGTCTAGCTTATATAATTATACCTAATGAAGATCAACAAATTTTAGAGACAAAGGAAAGCTTCTAAAGGGAGCATGCCTACAATGGGAAGATAAATATATGGGAAGACACTAATAAAATAAAGTATACTTGCAGATTTCTCTGGTTCTGTCTCTGAATTGATGAAGGATTGTCTCCATTGAAGGATTTATGTCCTATCTATAGGGGGAGGACAGCGAGACCTTTTGTTTTTGTAAATCTCTACCTTGCTCTTAGGCAAACAGAGGAAAGGCAGAGAGCTCTCTTATATCTTAATTGTCTTCAGCTAATGACCCTTCATATTTGGGGGAGATGTATTCTGGTCTCCCACAGATATAAAGTTTCAGATAGACTGGAGGAATAAGGTCTGAATAGTAGGATAATTGTGATTCAGCAGGCTGAGGCAGGAGAATTGCAAGTTCAAGGCCAACCTTGGCAACTTAGACCCTGTCTCAAAATAAAAAATAAAAAGGGCTATGAGTATAGTTCAGTGGTAAAGCACCCTTGGTTGAAGCCCCACTATTACTACTACTACTACTGCTGCTGCTGCTACTACTACTACTACTGTACTACTACTACTACTACTACTACTACTACTACTACTGTATATTTCAAAACACCTGAAAGAGAGGATTTTAAATGTTCTTACCACACAGAAATGATATGTATGAGGTGATGAATATGCTAATTATTCTTTTTTGATAATCCCATATGTATTGAAATATCACATTATACCCTATATATAGCATTATTTTTTGTTAATAAATAAAACCAATAAATAAATAACAGATTAGAATACTACTTTTAAGGAACTGCTTAAATAACCCCATTAACATCTGGAAGGGTCCTGCCACTCATGTCTCAGTTATTACAGCTGAAGCAAACCCAGTAGGGCATGTGTCAGTATATCTAATGCCAAGGGCAAGAAAAATATCAATATTCTTCTATCCATAATTGGATAGGTCTTCAACTGATATTCTCCTGAAACCTGTCTACCAAACTTCTGCTTTCCTCTAGCCTAGCAAAGTGAATGTTAAACTGCCAAATATAACTGTACCCTTTCTTGCTCAATGGGGTTAGGCGATGAAGAGGATATGTTGTTCTTCTGGTCATTATGTTGTAAGTATCTGCCTTTCTCAGGGAATCTGGTGCTATTTTTTATATTTAACAAACAGGGAAGTGATTCCAAAATGTCTTGTTAGCAGCCCAGTAGTGTAGCCTGCCTTCTAAATCCTTCAGGACCTGGATCTGCTCCTTTCGACTCTGTAATTTTTCTAAAATGATCTGATATGCCTGAACTCACTTCTCCCCTCAGGCAGGAGGCATGCATTTCCCAGGAGCAAAGTGGGAAACCACTGGATCATGTCTAAAAGTCACTTGATTGCTACTAAAGCTGTGTTCTTTTGTTTTGGTGGGGTAAAATAATGAGTTTTTTTTTTATTAGTATAGTTTTTTGGAGGGCCAAATGGTAGGTAATCAGGAGTCTGTGGTCCTGCTTAGTGTTTCCTTTGTGGAGGTCCTACTTCTTTGGACCACTAGTCTCTAACAGGCAGGTGGTGCAGAAGAGAAGAGCTCTTTCAATCTCCTCCCAAATGTGCATATAGCTGTACTCTTCTGTGCATAGGACTATACCCTGCACCATCCATTTACTTCCAAGGGCAAGAGAAGTACCACAGGTGAAGGATAACTACAGAGTGACCAAGAAGAAAAAAGTGCCATGCCATTCACTCAAGGCCTGGCTCCACTGTGAACTGTTCCTCCTGATCAACCAGCTGTTTAGTATCCCAGGGAATAGCTTAATAATTGTTCTGTAGCAGGTGTTTGGAATGAATAAAAGGATAAAACCCAGAAACCCTGTATTTGGAAGACTTTATGGGATAAAGCAGTTGTATTTCCAGAATGGTTGTGGAAATTCTGCCTCTAGGCAAGATTGGTTACCATACTGCCTGTCTAGCTGCTTTTCCACTCCATCCTTAACATGCAAGTTTTATAAGAGAAATAAATATATGGGCATCAGTTCAAAATGGTGTCAGTTTTAGTAGTCTCTCAGTGTTCTTGTGCCACATGCAAAACATAACTATGAATATTTTAATACATAGAAACATGATATATTTTTGTTGGGTTTTTTATCATTGCTTGAATTTGATCCCAAAACAATATACTTGCCAGCATCTACATCAACACAATTTGAAAAATAAAGAACACCCAGTTCTAACTTACCCCATGATGGCAGGCAGTGATCCATCTGGTTTGGTGTCATCCAGAGTTATGGAAATTGGAGCTTCCTCATCTTCAATGATCATGCAGCCACAGTAATCTTATCCAGGAGAAAATCAATAAGAGATTGAGATCAACCCATATTACAGAATTAGAGGCACATAAACATAGCATATATGTATACACTTTTGCTAAGAGGAAGATAAATCTTAAAATTATTGGGGGTTTTTTTTGCCCCAACCCTAGAAGTCATTTCCTGTTAAATGCACACACTGACTATACAAGAATATCTCACACAGGGATAATGACACTTCATATAAAGGGCTTATGAGCAATGCATGAGAAAAATGGTAAGATGGCCCTGATGTCTGGAAAAGATGGGGAAAAGAGTTGAGTATATTAAAAGCAATTATCTCTATTAACCCTGGAAGAAGTTGTGAAAAGGCATCCTGTGAGTATGAGCAGAAAGCTAATCAACAGTAGGAACAATATATAGAGAGCTTTCTAAGTCCCTGATTCTGTCTCATTTAATCCTCACACCACCAGGGTAGTATGTATTTTTACAATTTTATGCTTAGAGACTGAGGCTAGTAAGTAACAAAGCCTAGGACTCTCCAACTTCAAAGGATCACTTCTTCCCCAGAGCTCCTGGTCTCACTTTGCCAATAAAGAATAAGTGGAAGGTCAAGTGCCAGGAGCCAGGGCAACCCCCAAGTGGTGTTCTCATGGTGGGCCCTCTTTTCCCCTCCCATTGCCAACAAGTGCTCTTGGGGTCATTTTGTGTTACAGGGCACTACGAAGAAATTGACAGAATTCTGATCCTTTCTCTACCAAATTGAAAACATTTATCTTTTTCTATTCAGTTCCTTCTGTTAAATATTACCAAAAGAATGGTTCCTTCACTTAATACAGTTTAAACATGAATAAGAGCAGCTTACCCTTTTTCTTCCAGAAGGCATCCTTGTAATACATCATGCACTTAATGATAGCCCCCATTGGAAGACGCTGAATTAGCTGGTTTCTCTCTGATGGAAGCTCAGGTTTGAAGTGGATTTTAGCAGTCAGGGTCGGAGGGATGGCACTAATTACGTATCTGCACTAAAATACACATATGCAAAACATCACCTCAAATACAAGCTGTACTCTTTGCAGAGGGTGTGAAACATCTCTAATATTTTGAATGATATTCAGCAGTGACAACATGCAAAATTAGACAATTTGGTGCAACAAAATAGAAGAAGTTGGGTCTACCAACCATGCTGGTAAATTGGGAGAGGAGGCAGAAACACACCAGTATTAACTATACCACAGCTTTGATTATATTTAGTTAGAAACTGCAGAAGACACAAGGCGTATTTACTATAGACTCCTTTTGACTAAAATTACCTCATAGCATTCATGATTCAGTGTCTCTATGGTGATGTTGGCACCAGACTGGTCAATATAGGTGACAGGATGGCTCAGTTTCACCCGGTCCCCAAGGAGTTCCATTATCCGCTCACTCACTTGACCAGAACCTCCTACAAATTTCCGTTCCTACAGACAGAGGTAGACAGGAAAGGAGATACTGTAAAAGCCTAATGGAGGGAAATCTTATTTTCCACTGATTAGGAAACCTCCAGAAAGTCACAGCCAGACCTCCACTCTCCAAACACTCTCCAAACACTAACCATTAGGATAGAGGCAAAGGAAAAACATCACCTCAAACACAATCATAGTCTTTGGAGAGGGTGTGATATATCATCTTTAACATTTTGAATGATACTGAGCACTGACAACATACAAAATAAATTGGATTCTCTGTACAGTTATCCTCTGTATAGTTTCTAGCACTAAAAAGCCATTACTAGTTCATAAAATTACAGGTCAGAAAAACTGTTCCGCTATGCCAGTACTGCCCTGATTGAAAGGAAATAGCAAGTCTGTGGGCTTCAGATACCTAAGAGAGTAGAGCATGGAAGGGTCCTTGGGAAGTGGAGGGAGCTGTGCTTGTCCCAGTGGGTGCATTTTCTAAGAAACAGGGGAATATTATTAGCTTATTGCAGAATATTCATTGGATGGCTAAAAACGCATGTCAGTAGGCTGAGGCACAGTCCACAATTGACAATTAAGTACCTCAATCATGAGTATCCACACAGTAATTTTTTTCACTTTTATAACTGGCTATTATTTTATGGCAGCACTAAAGTTATTTGTAAAACTATCCCCATGGTGGTTCAAACCTAAATTCATAATTTGTCCTTCCTCAAGAAACAGGTACCACTTAATCTACAATCTGACCCATGTTTTCCAAGGGTTGCTCTGAATTTTAGTGTAATGTAAAGATCACAAACTATTACAATATTGTCCACTATCTATCCCTCTATGTTTAGTATTTGTCTAATTACATTGTAAGGGGGGAACTTAATTTCTTTAGGAAGTTATTGTGATAATGGCTTGAGATTCATAATCTGAACTGTAACTTTCCATAAGGTCCTGTAGGGTTTGTTTAGAAATATCCTGACTCTTCTGAATGAATGAACAAATAACATATATGCATAAAGATACCTCACAAAGCAAAATATGGGTTAAGAAGAGTAATGTGGGAATTCTGCCTTTAATTAAAGACACTTAAAAATGCAACAGTCCTGCATTTGCCAAAACTAAGCATTCAATGAACAATAACTCTCAGTGTCACAAGAATAACTTGGGAACTTCTGTAGATCTAAGAAAAATAGTGCACTTGGGGGGAGAGAGACTTTTACACCTTGTAAAATGCACTCAGAATTCTGGGACTCAAAGAACAGAGTATAAATTAGAAATAAACTGCTACTAATTAAACCTCTTCACTCCCAAGCATAATATTCCTAGAAAAGAGATACTCATCCTCTTTGAATATGGAGCTTTAATGTAAAGAATCTCAGAGTCTGAGGAACCAGGAAACTAGAATTCATGGAAGTGGTATGGAAACTGGGCAAATAAAAATGGACAACAGAAATTTGGAATCCAAACTATAGAATTTACTATGAAAAGAATGGCCATAAATCACTGAGTTAATTAGAACAGTCATTTCCATTATGTAACAGTTAATATAAATAAATAACTATGAAAATGGCACCAAAGCCTTATGTTTAGAATAGAGATGATTTTCAGTGCAATAATTTTACAAATACTTAAACTTTTTTGAAGCTAATTTTTTTTTAGTTTTCTAGTTTCTCCTCCATTAATTTGCTTAATTTTTTCTACCTCCAAAAGGAAAGAATGTAATTCCCAGGACCTAATTAATTCAAAATGAAATATTCTTTACTTGGAATAAAAAAAAGGAAATGAGATTTTTTTAGATCATTTTACATCGCTAATTATTCATGACTGGAAATACTGAACCAATTATTATGACACTGCTCTAGGTGAGTGTAAAATAATAAATACAGTTACAATTTTGGAATAGGCATGCCATACCTGGCCTCCATTGGTGACTGAGAATATCCGAGTTGTTCCACCACATTGTTTCACATACCACAAGAACCACAAGGCAGATACCTCATGGGGCTCAGAGGTCACATTGATATTCACAAAAAGAGAAGCAAACTGCCTTGCAGTCCTGTTTACAGAAAGAGAGGAGAATAGGTATATGATTCACAGGAGCACATGTTTTCAAAATGCAAGTAGAACTAGGCGTGGTAGTACACACCTATAATCCTAGTTATTCAAAAAGCTGAGGCAGGTCAATTGAAAGCTCAAGGAAAGCCTTGGCAACTTAGTGAGATCCTATCTCAAAAAAATATTAAAAGGGTTGGGGATGTAGCTCAGTGGTGGAGCACCCCTGGATTCAGCCCCTGGTATCATAAAGAAATGAAATGTAGTATTTTTAGCAAGTACTTCCATTGCTTTTTTGAGAAAAAGAAACCTCATAGGCTCAAGTTCCAAAGGAATGCATTTTTAACTCTTGGAAAAATAAGTTTTCTCCCTCTTTAAGAAATTACGGAGTGCTGGGGTTGTGGCTCAGTGGCAGAGCATTTGCCTCACACATATAAGGCACTGGGTTTGACCCTCAGCACCACATGAAGATAAACAAAATAAAGATTAAAAAAAGAAATTATGGAGCCTGTAATCCCAGGTACTGCAGAGGCTGACAATAAAATCCAAAGTTCAAGACTAGCCTGGACAACTTACCAAGACAGTGTCTCAACAAAATAAAAAAATAAAAAAGGATGGGATGTAGCTTAATAGTAAACACTTGCCTAATATGCACAAGCCTCTGGGTTCAACCCCCAGTTAGTACTGTGTACTGCCCCCCCCCAGAAAAAAAGAAAAGAAGAAGAGGAGGAGGAGGAAGAAATTAATTAACTAATTTTGGGTTAGCTACAAATATGCTAAGCATGGTTATGTCTAAGAATCAATGTTCTTGTTGGGGACCATTAGGGATAGTTTTTCTCATCTATTGTAACAAACATCCTATCTCCTTTGTCTCTGCCCTAGTTCAGGATACTAATGTCTCTCATCTGGCCCACAAAAGTGGGTGCTTCTACATTCCCCATACATTCCCTATGCATTTCCTTTCATATCATTTTCTGTCCTATATGCAATGAGGTCTTTTAAAATTATAAAACTAAAAAACACCCCAAACTTCTGCTTAAAACCCCTCAATAGCCCAAAACAGAGAAAAGTACGATTTCAAATGTAGTCAATACATATTGCACATCAGGCTGCTCAACCAGTACCCAACCTTCCCTTATACCATTTATTTTTATTATCTCTATGATCCAGGCACACTGACCATCCAGTTGCTAAAACCTGCCTATATCTTTCCCATCCCAGGATCCTCACAAAAGTTGTTCCCTGTTCTCCCTACCTAGAAGATATTATCCCCCTACAATATAAAATGTTCTCTGTCTTCCCCTGCCACTGTGGGTCCTTCCTAGAAGATACCCTCCCTACCGCTTCTACCCTCCCCTGTCTCCTCCCACCTTCTTTAGGTCATTTCTGGAATAAACCATTCTTCTTTCCTGTTTCCCCCAATCACTGTGCATCATTCCTGAAAGATACCACCCTGCCACACTATGCAAGGTTCCAGTTTCCCTCCTGTTATTGGCTCTATCCTTGGAGAAACCATAAACCCCACCTGCCAACTTTCATGCTTCTTGCACCCCTCATTCAGTGGATCAATCTTGGAAAATACCAATCTCCCAAAATCCACCCTAACTTCCCCTGCCTCTTGTGGGTGATTCTGGGAATATCTAATCCCACCTATACCAAAACTCCCTATATATCCTACCCTATTCTGTGGCTCACTCCTGACAGATATCATCCACCCAACTCAATACATCCATCCTGTTTACCCTAGACCCCTTGGGTAATGCCTGGAAGATATCATCCCCTATACCCCTCCATCCTTCTATGCCATAGTCCTTGTGTGTAATTCCAGGAACATACCATGTTCCCAAATAACCCAACTTTCCCTATCTCACCCAACATCTATGTGTCAATCCTGGAATATACCATACCCACCAAATCTATCCTTCCATCTCCCCTTATCAATCCCACTGGTGCATTCCTGAAGGATACCATCCCCTCAGTACCCTCCCATCTCTCTTTAAATCTATGGATCCTTCCTGAAATATACCATCCTGCCATACCATTCCTCTCTCCTCAATGACTGGTTCTTTCCTGGAAATATTCACTTTTTCCCCCATCAACCACCCCCTACCCCAGTCTCCCATAGGACCCTAGCAACTTGCTGGAAAATATCATTCTTCCTGACAATTTCCACCCTTTCTGCCCACCTTTCCACTAAGTGGAACATTCCAGGAAGATACCATTGTCCCAACACCATTCATCCATCCTGTCTCCCCCTGCCTCTGTGGATCATTCCTGAAATATACCGTCCTTCCCCAGCAGCTACCTCCCTAACTTTTCCATACCTCTAAGGTTCAATTCTTAGAAAATACCATTTTTTGATTGTTGTTTTATAGTCCTAGGGATTGAACTCAGGGTACCCTACCACTGAGCTAGATCCCCAGCCTTTTTATTTGCAATATCCCACCACATCTATACTTCTCTGTCTTCCCCTCAGCCCCTGTGGTGCACTTGGAGAAGATATTATCCCCAAGACAGATTATCCACCCTTCCATCTACACCCACCCCTTTCATTCCTGGAATATACCATGGTGCCACATCATACACTCTATCTCTCCAGTGATCCTGGTTCTTTCCTAGAAGATAACACATTTTCTCTCACCAAACATCCTTTCTTCTCCCCCATGACCCTGGTTTCTTGCTGGAAGACACCATCTCTCTTCACAACTTCCACCCTTCCTGACAGTCGTCTACCCAGTGAAACACTCCTGGGAGATAGCACTGTTCCATTACCATCCACCTATCCTTTGTTCCCCTGCCTCTGTGGGTAATTCCTGGAATGCCCTTCATATCCTTCCCCAGCAGCCACCCTTACTTTTCTATACCCAAAGAGTCAATTCCTGAAGATACCATCCCCCTACTCCATTCAACTTTTTTTCTTTCTTCCTGTCAAAGTGGCTAATTCCTGGGAAATACCACCCCCCTCAACACACAGAGCAACCGCTGCCCTCCCTCAGACCCTTTGGATCATTCCTGGAATATACCATCACCTCCATAACATCCCTACATCCTGTCTCCCCTTCCTGATACACTGGATCTTTCATAGAATATACTTTTCCCTCCAATATGATCCACTTCACTTGTCTCTTCCTGCCTCTGTGGATCATCCCTGGGAGACACCATTCTGATTATATCTACACTTACCTGATTCCTCAAAGCCCCTGTAAATCATTCCATGAAGATATTACCTCCCGTCCCACAAATTTTTCATGTCATATCCCCAGGCCCCTTTGAACTATTTTGAGAAGATGCCATCCTTCCATACTGGCAGCTCTTTTGTCCCACTATCCCCTGTCGCTTTCTTTTTTTTTTTTTTTTTTTTTTCGCTTTCTTTTTTTTTTAAGTTTATTTTTTAGTTGTAGTTGAACACAATATCCTTATTTTATTTATTTATTTTTATGTGGTGCCAAGGATTGAATCCAAGGCCTCGCATGTGTTAGGCAAGCGCTCTACCGCTGAGCCACAATCTCAGCCCCTATCCCCTCTCTTTCTTACAAGATACCATCTACTCACACCATCTGTACTTCCTATCTCCACCTGTACCTGTGAGTCATTCCTGGAAGATAAATTCCATGCTTCCTTCCTCTACCCAATGGGCCATTCCTGGAAGATATTACAGTTACACCCACTGTTAACCCTCCATCTCCCCCTTGTGCCTGTGGGTCACCCCTGAAAGATACCACCCTGGCATACCATCCACTGTTCTTGGGTATAGCCCCTTACCCTGGCTCATTTTTGGAAGACCATCTCCCAAACATCATCCACCCTTTTTGTCTTCCTCTGCCTCTGTGGGTAATTCCTAGAACATACCATCCTCCTAAATCATCGGACTTTCCCTGTTTTCCCCAGGTCCTCTTATGTCATTACTGGAATATACATCCCCCCACACCACATCTACTCTTCCCTATCTTCCTCATCCCTGCTGTGGAGTACTCCTGAAAGACACTATCCCCCCAACAACTACCCACCATACTAACCTCCCCCCCCCCCAACTCCTATCTCCACTCCTATCCCTGCTGCTATGGAATATACCATTCTGCCCCAACACCAAAATACCATCTTTAGCAATTGTCCTACTTTGCTCATTTCCCTCTAGCCCTTATGGGTCATTCCTAGATGATAACACCCTCCCTAAAACATCTACCTCTCCTGTCTTCCCCTCCACCTATGGGTCATTCCTGGATGATATCATCTACCACACACCACCACATATATCTTTCTCCATACTCTATGGTGTATTCCTAGAAGACACTACGCTTTCCAGGATATGCCCTCTAGTGTCCCTCTGTGGGTCATTCCTTGAATGTACCTTCCTACCCTAATATCCGTTATTTCTTTCTTCTCAATTGATTTTGGCTCATTCATGGGAAATATATCCTCTATCATCCAACTTTCCCTGAGTCTTCTAGCTCCTATGGGTCATTTATGAAACATATATCTGCCGTTTTTCTCTCTCTCTTACACCCATGGATCAATTCTGGAAAATACCACCTCCCCTACATCATCCAACTTTTCTGTGGGTCATTCCTGGAAGACATCATCTTACCAAACTACCTACTCTTTCTGTTTGCTTCCCAGACTCTTAACTCTTTCCTGGGAAATAACACTTCCCCATCCACCTTCCCTTCCATCTCTCTCATGACCTGGGCTCATTCTTAGAATATATCATCAACCCCTGCAAAACATCCATGCTTCCTACCTACCACCCTCCACATGCATTGGATCATTTCAGGAAAATAGCATTCTACAAACAACATCCACCCTTCTTGTTCTCCCTACCCCTATGGACCATCCCTGGGAGACACCATCCTATCCACATCTGTTCTTCTTTTCTTTCCTATACTGTCCAGTGCCTAATTCTTAAAAGATACCAGCCCTTCCACCCCCATCACCATCTACACATCTTGTTTTACTAAGCCCCTTGAGTCACTACTGGAAAATACTATTCACACACTCCACCAGTCTCCCCCTAAGCCCTGACGTGCATTCCTGGGATATAATATCCTCACCATCTAATCTCTCATTTTCCCCTGCCCTCTGGGTTGTTCCTGGGAAGATATCATCCCACTCCTAAAACTTAGACTCTTCCCATTTCCCCCAAGCCTCTTTGTGCATTACTGGAAGATATCAGCCTGCCACAACATCCATCTTTCCTGTCGCATTGAGCCATTCCTGGAAGACAGCATCCCCTTACACCAGCCAACTTTCCCTGACTCTCTGTCACTATAGGTTGTTCCTGGAAGATAGCATTCCCACCATATCTACCCTTCCCAGCCTCTCCCCAGCCCCTAGAACTAATTCCTGGAAGATACTCCCCCTCAACCTTCCCATACCCCTACAGGATCCATAGTCTCTTCTTCCCCCATCTCCTTTGGGTCATTCATGAAAAATGTACCTTCAACATCATATATCCATTCTGTCTCCTCCTGCTCCTGTTGATCATTCCTGGAAGATATCATCCTTACCTGAGGTCCCCAAAGTCCCAGTTAATCAGTCCTTAATGATCCTATCCCCTTCTCCTCACTATCCATTCCCTGTTTCTCTCCTCCCCCAGCCACAATGGTTCACTCCTGGAAAATCCATCACAACTTCCCTGTGTCCTGTCTCCCCACCCTATTCCTCCACCCAGTAAATCATTCTTGGAAAACAATATTGTCCCAATACCATCCACCCTTCCTGCCTCCCCTGTCCCTGGAAGATACTATCACCTACCCTCAACACCCAAGCTTCTTTGTCTTCCCCCCAATCCCTAGGCACAGGCCCAGAGGAAATTATCATTAATGTCACAATCCACTCTCCATCTATCTCCTCTCTGCATCTGTGGGTTGTTCCTGGAAGATACCATCTTGCCACACCATCCATTCTTCCTGAATAGAATCTCTGACCCTGGCTCATTCTTGTAAAATATGAGTGCCCAAACAACACCCATCCTTCCTGTCTCCCAGAAGGCACTCAGTGGATAATTCCTGAAAGGTACCCTCCCCCAACACTATCCTCTATCCTGTCTCTTTCTGCCGCTGGAGGTCATTCCTGGAAGACAGCATCCCCCTACACCATCTAACTTTCCCTGTTCCTCGCTAGAAGCTTTGATTCATTCCTACAATATATATCTCTACCTCATCTACCCTTCTCTGTCTCCCCCAATCCCCTATGAGTCATTCCTGGGAGATATCTTCCTGCCACACCATCCACCATTCCTGTGTTCCCTGTCCTTGTGGGTTATTTCTGGAAAATATCATCCAACCCATACCATTTACCTTTTCTGCTTCCCACCCTGGCCCTGTGGGTCATTCCTAAAAGATACTAACACATACATATCATCCACCCTTCTCAGAATCTGTAACTCATTATTGTGTGATATTTTCCCCCCACATCATACACCATATCACACATTTCTCTCTTCTCCCAAGCCTTATGACTCAATTAATTCACATGACAAAAGATACCATTCTCTTACAACATCCGCAATTTCCTGCCTTCTTCCAGCCTCTTTGGGCCATTCTTAGAAGATACTGTACCCCAATACCACCTACCTCTTCTGTCCTGTGGGCTGCTCCTAGAAGAAACCATCCTCCAAACCATGTATCCTTCCTGTCTCTCCCATTTTCCTGCAATTCATTCTTAATTGACGCACTAATTCCCAAGTTTTAGTTTTAAGAATGCTACACCAAGAAATGCTTTATTTTATCCTCAGACCAGATGAGTTTCTATCTGCTGTAGGCACTCTCTTAGAGTGTATGTTCAGTGTCAGTCTTGCTTGCTAGAATGTAAGCTTCATGACAAGTTCAACACCATTCCTTAGTCAGTGCCTGATACAGTACCCTCATATAGTAGACCCGAAATAACTACATGCTAATAAGTACATAAATATGTATTTTAAAATAAATGTAAAACTAATAGAGTCATGCTCCACATGATGACATTTTGATCCATAGTGGATCACATATATGATGGTGGTCATGTGAGATTATATGCCTATTGATGTAGTAGCCATCTTAAAGTACACTCTAGGATGTTCATACAACCATGAAATTGCCTAAGAACACATTTCTCAGAAGGTATCCCTGACATTGAGTCATAAATGTACTAGTGAACTATAAGAAATGATTAAAGTTTATATTTTCTTAGCTTCCCTCTAGTTTCTATTTATTCTACATCTATAGAATTACTTTTCAAATATCACCACAAATGCTCTTGTAGACAAACTGTATATAATAGAAAAGCATAATTAACTGATTTTATTGAAGACCATAAGACTCCTTTATTAAAATATGTCCTACTCTAGGTACCTAATTAAGTTTTTTATTCATTCTTTGTTCAAACCTGCTCTGAAGTACCTAAAGTGACCTCAAAGTTAATACCAACTGTTAGATTACTAGATTTCCTCTTAACTTTTTTCCTGCAAGTTACTAAGAAAAGTGCTGAAATTTAAGACAGGATGGAAAAGATCAGAAGGGAAGATAAAAAGGAAATTTTGAATAATCAAGTATACTTTGTCCAGCAGATTTTATCGATAAGATCTTTCATGGTCATCTTGTCCCATTCCTCAGCATGAGGGGCCTGCCAGGGAGCATCAGCTGGAATCTGCAAGGAAAGAAGGTCCCACACTCAGGTGTTATGGTAAATGCCACCACAAACCCTCAAAGAGGCCTTTATGAGAACCTCTAAAAATTGATTTATTGGTCTCTGTTGGAATGTGTGATTGGCTTGGAATTCTATGTAGAGGTGGGAAGGCTCTTTACCTTAACGTTGTTGCCAAAATAATAATGATAATGATCATAATTACATATAAGAATATGTATAGGGCTGGGGATGTGGCTCAAGTGGTAACGTGATTGCCTGGCATGCGGCGGGGAGTGGGGGCGCTGGGTTCGATCCTCAGCACCACATAAATATAAAATAAAGATGTTATGTCCACCAAAAACTGAAAAATATATATTAAAAAATTCTCTCTCTCTCTCTCTCTCTCTCTCTCTCTCTCTCTCTTTAAAAAAAGAATATGTATAAACTTATATAATTATGATTAGGATGATCATTAAAAAAATAATAACATTATTATTGAAAGCTAATACCCATTTTAGGTCACCAATTCAAATTTATAGAACCTGAAACTAAGTGAAAAAATCTTGGGGCAGCAAGTTCTTCCTTCCTTTACTTTTTAAAGTGGTATTATAGATGGACAAGATCACTTTAAGTAGAGATATTTGGCAAAAATGTCATATAAAAGTTCAATGGCATAAGATCGAAGGTATACTGGCATTAGTATAAGTAGGAATAAGTCTGAATTCTGGTTCCCTTGCTGTGTGGTCTTTAGTCAATTACATAACCTCTTGGTGCTCATTTTATCCAATTGTTGAGTAGAAAACCTACCACCTTTGGTGAGTTGTTGGGTGCACTGGAAAGCATATGCATTAATGTCCAGAGCAATATTCCCTGACCTATGGAAGGATATTAAACAGGTGACACTACTATTTCACGAATAGCTCATGTGCAAACTGAACACACATTTTACCTCCTTTCCCATATTATCCATTGTCCGCCACAGATTGTTGTAGTCCAGATATGCAATAGGATTCCACACAGGAGGAAATGCTCCCCGAAATGGATAAGTTTTCCCCTGGAACATAAAAGCAAAAGGTATTAATTGAAAAGAATGATATCTTAAGTTAGAATGGCATTCAAAAAATATAAGAACCAACCAATTTAAGTTAGTTGTGTTCAAAGTAACAGGATTCTTTACTGTGTTAGAAGCATTCCCTTTGGTGAAAAATAAATATATTTTACCTATACCAGCCCAATTTTAATAAAATTAGCAAAATTTTCCCAGTGCTGCATAAGCTGTTTTTAACTTGCAGGAAAACACAGCTTTTGATTTATTCCCGCTTATTTGAGTAAATTAATAAATAAATTCATCCTAACCTGAGGAGAGCAAGATGAGGACATATAGGACTATCTTTAGACCACATAAATGACAGTAATAGCAAAGTGGGATATCTCAGACCATGTTTTAAGGTTTACACAGGCTAAATAAAGACTGGGTAGATGATAGACTATGTCTGATGTCAAGAATCAGAATGTTAGCAATGTGGAATAATGGACATTTTCCATTTGGAGCTGCCCAGCATCCATTCTACTTTCATACTAGTACCATGGTTTCTTTTTGGGAAATTGCCCCTCCTCCATCCTAGGAAGGATGGTTCTCAGTACTAACTATCATTACAGAAGAGGATGAGTTAGATTCCTTTTCCTCCTCCCCCACACCTCTTGAACCAGCCCACTTGTGAGTCTGTGATATGACCTTGGCCAATCACACACCCTCAGAATACTCTGATTCTGGAGATCATCACCCATGGATAGAAGAAACAGAGATGTAGGCTCTCTTTCTCTGGGCAGCATGCTGTGCAGATGCTTCGTACTACAAAGGTCATAGCTAGGGTTACTGACCCTAACTTGCCAGAGCTTTCCTGCTCTCTGGCTCATTCTCAAGTGCAGTTCTTCAGCTTCATGTTGATTATGTGTTCCCTCTCATTTCCACTTAGTAAATTTCCTTTGTTACTCCAAGTAGGTTTATATGGCTTGATATCAATATCTCTAACATGAAGACTGCCCATTATTAGCAACAATTTACTTTATTTCATTGTGTGACACACACTGAGCTATGTAAAAGCAAGGGTAAGTGAGGCTGAATCCTTAGGAAAAGAGACCAAGACTAGACAGTTTCTAAGATCTTATTTATAAATTTAATTCCATTTGTAGTCAGCCCTCTGTATTCTTGTATTCTGCAACTGCAGATCCAAACAAACACAGATCAAAAATATTTTTAAAAATTGCATCTGCAACTAAACATGTGCAGACTTTTTTCATTATTCCATAAATGATACATTGTAATTATTTATGTAGCATTTACATTGCAGTAGGCATTATACACAATCCATAGGTGCTTTAAAGTATATGAGAGCAAGTATGTAAGTTGTTTGCAAATGCTATGCCTTTTATTATTATGTCATTTAATATAAGGGACTTGACTATCCTTAGATTTTGGTTTATACAGTAGGTCCTGGAATGGATCTCCTGAAAACACGGAGAGACACTTGTACTTTCAAAATAAATGTCTTCTCACTATTCATAAGATAAAAATCTTTTTTACTAGTAAAATTTTGCAAAAGAATTTGGTTTTAAATATTTGCAGAATGCTTACTGCATGCACTGCACAATATCAAAAGTTGTATTAGATTTTTCACAAAAATGTGTTAGATTTTTCAAGAAAAACTGACTATTAAGGCAGGGACACAAAATATAACACTGTGCATGCATACACGCACACACCCCAGTTGAGTAAGAAGATATGGCATCCAAAGAAGTAAATTTCCCTTCCACATAGCAAATTCAAATAACCTTGCTAGATTATGCGATCTGATTTCTTATCTGAAAATGCTATGTTGAAATGGAGCAATACAACTTTTCAAGACTGAATCCTTTATCACCATCACCACCATCATTACTAACATTTATTGAGATCTTTCTCCATGCCCAGCACTGGCCAGAGCTCTTCATATGCGTTATCTCATGTTATGTTCCCCACAGCCCTGTGAAGGCAAGCACTATTAATATTGCCATTTTATAAATGAGGGAACTAAAGCCCAGTGACAGTAGCTAGTAAATAGTAGAACGGAAATTTCCTGCTCCCAAAGCCTTTGCTCATAAAATGTGCTTTCCTGCCTCCTACATGGTTGATGAAATGTAGAGAAAGGTTTGTTCTAGAGACATTTTAAACTTCCCCACTAAAAGAAAAAGAACTCTGAAATGTGAAACTTATAAATCTTCCACATGCATTTTTTCTGTTTCAAAGTAGTAAAAATAGAGACTAAGAAACCCCAAGGGTGTAACAAGACTGCCAAGAAAACATGGCCAACTTTGGAAAATGCTAACGCATGTTCCGAGAAAAACGGTAAGAGACATTTTACATAGAACACAAAAATAGCTATGGAAAAGAGAGAGTCTGGGGTTAGATTAATATTTTGGGCAGCCTTTAGAACAGCTGGTTCTTTTTATAATTCTCCGCTAAATTGAAATCACGAAAAAAATCTCCATTTTCCTCTGTAAAATGCACTTATACTCAAGGAACAGTCTCATAAGAATCTTATCTGTATTCTAAAAAAGAATATTTTATTTAGAAAATTTAAATATTCTCAATCATCTGGAGATATTAAGCAAAGCATTACAAATATAATTCAACAAAATGTGTTCCATATTCCCATTAAAGTTCTTCATGGGGTGATACCTAAGCATCCCTCAATCTGAGCCTTAATAAACACACAAACATGGCAGGAGAAGTATTTGAGTGTTCAGGGAAAGAGGAGAATCTGGCCTGGCAAGTCCTTAGGAATGGGAACCATGGAATGTTCTAAAAGAAGACCATGAGGACCCTCATACTATAACAAACTTTCATCCTGTTAACACTGTCATTGGTTTCTGGCTTCTCAGTTCTTAAGGCACAGAAAACTAAATCTGCCACAAAGAAATGCACATATGTGGGGAACTGGTAACTACAGGGCACTTCCTCCTTTCTCACCAGTGAATGAAAGGGCTTAGTTCCTCCATGGCCTACTTCTAGACTAGACAACTTGAGACTACTTTCATATGTGTGAATCCATAAAGCAATTCAGTAAGAGCCGGGGATGTCTCTTAGCTGAGTGAGAACTGCCTGAGAGTAGGGACCTTCTCTGTCTCCTAAATGTGATCTTATAGTTTATCACCAAGGCATCAGCAGCCTCTCAATCCTAAACCATTTCTCAGCAAGAAATGTCTTTGTGACCTAAGACTGTGAGGCAGGAGCTCTAGAAATACACTTTCAAATGTCTACCGCTCTTTAAAAATAAAAGGAATTTAAAAATCTAGAGTAATAGTCAGATTTATTTTGTGGATATGTTCTGAAACTTCACTACTTTTCCAAAATGGCCTTTAATCTCAAAAGGACTGACACAGCAGAAATTATTGCTGTGGAGTGGAACAAAATGTCCCTGGCATTGTGCCTCAATACTTAAGTCCCTTTGAGAAATCACATCTTTAATCTACCAATGTTCCTAACAGGAGGCTATTGACAGGAGATAGTTTATGGCTCCCATATTACTCTTTACTGTTGGTCCTATAAGATAAGCCAAGTTTATAGTAAGCAATTAGCATTTACTTATTGGCACGTTGAAAAGTTTCATCTCTCTGTACTTTTATAATTTAGTTAAGCAAATACTGCTATTACAGTATCATAGGTCACTCTGGAAGCTGCCAAATATCTTTCTTTAATCATCTAGAAACTAAACAGTTTCTGGATTGGTTTAGGGACATGCCTGTCCAATTCATATGAATTCCTTGGGACCTGTAGTTTTATTTTGTGACAAAGCCTATAAGAGAAATCTTTTGATAGTTTCTTTCTTGTAGTTCATAAAAAATTATTTAAATAAAGAAATCTATAAAGAGACTCATTAAATAGGAGGGCAGGATTGTGCAGGATTAATTTTCTTCCCCTTTCCAAATGTAGATAGCTAAGGTAGCCAAGCTTTCTTGCAACATATAATAGCTTCCTTCACTCTACCTAGAAAAAGCCTCTATACTCTACAACTCAATATGTAAACACTGAAAACATCTATCTTTTTCAGTTGCCATTCACCTTTTTTTTTTTTTTTTTACTTTTTATTTTTTAGTACTGGGGATCAAACCCAGGGCTTCATGCATACTAAGCATGTGCTCTACCACTGAGCTATACCCCTAACTCTGCATTCTTCTTTCAAAAGTCAAATGCAAATGATGCCTCTGTTTCTTCCATATCCTTTTACTTCCTAAAATCTGACTTGTGTCCTCAAAAATCCACAGGGCCCCTTTTCTCTAAGGTTACCAATGAGCTCCTTATACCCAGATATGAAGGAATATATCTACCGCATTATCACTTGGCTGCATCTGACATTGACCCATCAGATTGTACTGTTTCTCCCTGTTCTTCATCTAGTTCCCCAAGACCCTTCATTTTCTGAGCCACTAAATTCCCTGGGTCCCATCCTCAGCCTTTTCCTTTTCTTTTACCCACCCATTTCCCATTTCCCCAGGGAACTCATATACCATCTGGTTTTATTATTGTATTTGCACAGTGTTATGGTTTGCATTTTTATGGTTTTATTCCTTCTATGTTTATAAGTACCAAATTGCTATCTACAGTCACTGACACAACTTCAAGGTCTGGCAGCATATTCTTGTGTGTTTGCTCATGATCCTATATTTTGTTATATTCTCAGCCTTTTTCTCAAGGCTTGCACAGTGGCCAGCACATCCAGTGGGTCCCTGAGTTTCACAGCCCCATCTCTGGAAAAAGAAAAGCATTACACTCAGGTATAAAAGATGCCCTTGCATCAAGATAGATTTTAAATGAATAATTATGCCATTGTTCTTAAGAAATTCTAGTTATATACAAAAATCTAAAACAAAGCAATTAAGACAGAAGCAACACAATTTCCTCTGGAGGCTCTTGGGTAATTAAAGATCATTAGCAAAGAAGTTTTTACATATATTTCTCTTCTTTCACAAATGACATTAACTCAGGAAAGACAGGCAGTTAGGAAAAGGATGAAA